CTTTTCCCTTCTATTTGATCCAAAGCGGGAATGAATTGCCCTGGAGTAGGACTGATCCTTCAGCCTTACTTCTGGGAGCCCTTCTGTGGCCTTCCCTGGGATTACTGGCATGTGAAAAGTGATCAGTCGAGGCTCAATTTTATTATTGTTTTCAATCAACTGAGAAGTTAAGAGCCAAATGAAACCTGCCTTGCCTCTGCATTCAGAAAGGATTATAAATGTATGAAAATATAGGGTCTTTTCCCGCAGGGCTTCAACAAGACTGTATCCATGATAGTCCAGAAGTATAAGAAAATAATAACACAGAATCTACAAAGTCTGCATGTGTTGTGTCAAGGGCACCAGAATGGGGAAATACTTCACTAGTTGCATTATTGTGCTGATTTGAGGAAGAGCAACCCTGACACATACTTTTGGTTCTCTCTCCTCCCTCCCCCTCAGTGTTACCTGATGGAAAAGGGTTAACACAAAACAGTCAAGTCAAATGCCACTGGGCGCGGCCCCCAGTAGTCACCACTAGGGATGTTACATTTAGATTAATTGACTAATCGAATAGTTGATGGGATTTCCATCGACTATTCGATTAGTCTATAAGGGTGCCTCTGCCTTTGAAATGTAGCAAGAGCAGTCAGCATGGGGCTTCCTTTTGAAATGTACAAGAACCCCAGTAGGGCTCTTGTACATTTCAAAGGCTGAGGTGCGGCAGGGAGCCCATTTGGGGGTATTGTATATTTCACAGGTAGAATCGCAGCAGAAGCAGCGCAAGCGGGGACCGCGTCAGTCCCACTCCCGCCACGTCCACTGGGCCTCTACTTCCGCTGCCCCCCACAGAGATGGTGCTGGGGGGAACCACCAGCTCCCCCCAGCACCGACTCCTGCTCTCCACCCTTTGCTGCCTCTTTCTGAGCAGGAGGTGGGGGGAGCAACTAGTCACATCACTTCTGCTTGTCAGATAGTCGACTAGTCTTTTACATCTCTAGTCGCCACTGTCCCTTAGAGGCCATTTGTCCTGGGCAGACCTGGCCAAGAAATGCAAATCCACTCCTGTAAAAAATGACATGTCTTTAAAAGACTGTTCATCCCAAACGGGGTGGGTGGGAGACACATTCCAAAATGTGAAAATATTTACAGGAAGGGATTTATTGAAAAACATCCTTTTTGAGAGAACCAAATCTGAATTTTTTGGCTGGCTGGAGGCGGAGGACCTCCATTCTCTGCCTCTTCTCAAGCTTAGCTGCATCCTCCCGGAAGACTCTTGGCAATTTCCCACCCTCTTTTTACGGGCCAAAAGGGAAATTGCCAGGAGCCTTCCAGGAGGGCAGCTGAGGAGTGGGAGCCACCATTTTGGCTGGGGAGCCTGATGGAAAACAGAAAAATTATTCTGCAACATCGAAATGTTCTCATGGGGAATTTTGATTTTGCAAAAAGGGCATTTTCCACTGGAAATCCAACTGGATGTGAAACTACCAGGTAGCACTGAAACTGCCAGCCCCATGATGTCCTTTTCTGAGCATTTAAATTAGGAGTCAAAATAAAATGCTTGACGATAGCTAGGAAGTTAGGCATACGTTTATTAGCTTGAGTATAGAGGGGAGCCCCTAGGCCTACGGCCACGTGGCAAGACATGGGACCAATTCTACAAATTGCTGAGCCTCTTCTGAGAGTTGCAAAGTACCCCGGACTCCTGTTGACCCCAGATGAAGTTTCAGATGCTCAGAACCGTGCCAATTCAGGGCTATAAGGAAAACAGAGGCTTTTAAAGGGGGATACCTTTAGAAACTAGATATATTGAGGTTATCTTCACGGTAGGGAATGAGGCATTTTGAAGTAAGATTAATCTCCACAGACATGCAGGGGAAGGAAAAACCCCAGTCATTTAAAGAGGTATTTTATTTTCTCCACAGGGAAAATGACATTTATAACAACCAGGCACACTATTTTCTGGTAGTGTGCCGGTTGTGTTAACATCCTGTAATAAATTGCATGTGTAAGCTGGTTAGCTGGCTCGTCCCACTATTGTAAATACTGGGTCATGGTATAGGCTATTAAAATGACATATAGTGGAAATCGCTGCGAAGTTCTGGTAGGGTAATAAGACTGCATATGCTTGTGCAGATTTGCTGCTGGGGTACTGAAGGAAATGGATATTTTTAGCGAGGCACTTATAAAATGGTCCCTATCCCTGAAGCCCTCCCTATGTGTGGTCTCCACAGTGACCCTGTGAAATAGGGAAGTGGTATTTTCTCCGTTTTTGAGAGAGGGAACCGAGTCCCAGAGAAATGAAATGATTTGCTCAGGGTCACACAAGAATGCTGCAGCACTGGGGGAACTAAACATGCCTCTTCTGCTTCCTAGTGCCCAACCTGAACCACAGTGACAACCTACATCCCTTTCCAGTAGCCCTCTCTGCAGGCTTAGAGAGGAATGCAGCGTCCCTGGCTCTGTTCTAAATGGAATTGTTTGTGCTTTTGAAAGGTGGCGTTAATGGCCTTCGGAATTGAGGGCTTCTCCTCACAGGCCTGTGCAACAAAAGCACACAATTCCTTCCTGATGTGTCCCCAGCCTGACCCGAAGGGAGGTCAGCTTCCAAGGCCTCTCTGCTCAGACTGCTGACAAGGACAGGGTTTTAGGATGGGCATGGCTATCTATAAAGCAGTGGACCAGGTCCCACCAGTTCACTGGACTTGAACCAGTGTCCACGAGACAAAAAGCACCATATCCTACTACCAGCCTCCCACCCCTCTCTTGCCCTGCAGGAAGAGATGTCAGCAGCGGGCTAGGTTTTCTAATGCTGGGCCCTAACTCTTGCTACCTCTGTAGGTCTGAATGTCACACTCGTTTTTCCAAGTGCCAAAGTTTGCAAGCTGAACATGGAAACATTCTTGTGTACAAAGTTAGTGCATACACAGTTGGAGGCAAGGCTAAGAGCAGCTTAAAATCTAGCCACATCAGATTGTATCATTGGCAAAATATAGCATAAGACTGGCACAAATACTGTGTTAGCATAATTTGTGGTTATCGTCTATAAATCGTCTTAGATCAAGATTTTTGGCAGTCAGGACTTGCCAGTCCACATGTTCATTATCTCTTAGCCAGGCTTTAGGGTTGTTTTAAAGGGCAGTGGTCTATCCAAAGCAAACTGTAATTGGCTATCGTATTACACTGAGCAGATGGTTGGTGAAAATCTTTGGAACTTTTAATACGCTTCAAATTCCCTTCAGTTGATGTGGTAAGAAGTTTGGTGTATTTCCTATACTCCATTTTGGCTTCACCTACTTTACCACAGAGCCTAATCCTTACAGGAACTAAAGAATCATAGAATCATAGACTCATAGGGTGTGTCTAAACTACATGGCTCCATTGATGGAGCCATGTAGATTAGGCTGATTGGCAGAGGGAAATGAAGCTGCGATTTAAAAATTGCCTGCCGCGCTGAGCCGACAAACAGCTGATCAGCTGTTTGTCGGCTCAGCGTGCTAGTCTGGACGTTCCCACACCGACCTGAAAGCCCTTTATTGACCTCCCTGTTATGCCTCGTAGGATGAGGTTTACCAGGGAGGTCGATAAAGGGCTTTCATGTCGACAGGGGAGCGTCCAGACTGCCCCAATCTGCCGACAAACAGCTGATCGGCAGAGCGGGGCAGCCATTTAAATTTAAATAAAGCCATGATTATTTAAATCGCGGCTTCATTTCCTTTTGCCGAACAAACAAATCTACATGGCTCCATCGTCTAGACGTACCCATAGGGTTGGAAGAGACCTCAGGAGGTCATCAAGTCCAGCCCCCTACCCAAAGCTGGACCAACCCCAACTAAATCATCCCAGCCAGGGCTTTATCAAGCTGGGACTTAAAAATCTCTAGGGATGGAGATGCTACCCTGCAGTACCTGAAATGCATTTATAGTATGTAGGGTGCACACCCAACAACTGTAACTTTGGCTGCACACATACTTATACTAATATACAGGGCTTGACAGATAATGTAATCTACTCACACGTGGCGAGTAGATTACAACCCGGAAGAGCCAGCGCAGAACCGCACGGCTGGCGAACGGGGCTCGCTGCCGCTTGGCAAGCCCTACTAATATATACACATATATAGCACTCACATGCTGCAGTGATAAACACGGTATAAAAGCCTATAGAGAATAGAATAGAGTTGTTATGAGCTAATGGTTCTGCCTGGCTTCAAGAGAACTGTTTATCCTCACCTGAATGAAAATGAAAACTCAGAGAATTACGCAAAATATCTGAAGAGCAAGGACTCCTGCCCAGAAGGAGGTTAAACATAAACATTGGTACAGTCCCAGTACTAATTAGACAGAATCATTCACTCTTGAAATTACCTCTGATCCTTTTTGGTCCAAAGTAAGGGAACTCATTTTAAAAGTTGGTTAGTTATGTTATTAAATGCATATAATTTAAGGTATCAAGGAACGTAATCCAG